TATAATCATCTGCTGACTACTCTTGCACCTACCATGCTTTTGGAATACAAAGGCTCGTCACCGTCCTTTCGTCTTTAATTATATAGTCATCTGCTGACTACTCTTGTACCTGCCATGCTTTTGGAATACAAAGGCTCTTCACCGTCCTTTTGTCTTTAGTTATATAATCATCTGCTGACTACTCTTGCACCTACCATGTTTTGAAATACAAAGGCTCGTCACCGTCCTTTTGTCTTTAGTTATATATAATCATCTGCTGACTACTCTTGCACCTACCATGCTTTTGGAATACAAAGGCTCGTCACCGTCCTTTCGTCTTTAATTATATAGTCATCTGCTGACTACTCTTGTACCTGCCATGCTTTTGGAATACAAAGGCTCGTCACCGTCCTTTGTCTTTAGTTATATAATCATCTGCTGACTACTCTTGCACCTACCATGCTTTTGGAATACAAAGGCTCGTCACCGTCCTTTCGTCTTTAGTTATATAATCATCTGCTGACTACTCTTGCACCTACCATGCTTTTGGAATACAAAGCTCGTCACCGTCCTTTTGTCTTTAGTTATATAATCATCTGCTGACTACTCTTGCACCTACCATGCTTTTGGAATACAAAGGCTAGTCACCGTCCTTTTGTCTTTAGTTATATAATCATCTGCTGACTACTCTTGCACCTAACATGCTTCCGCAATACAGACGTGTCCACTTTTAGTCCAACAGGATCGGAGATGGAGGATCGGTACGCTGCAGAACTCAGTAAAGCGGTAAGAATCACCGTCTTCCAAATCAACCAAGGACTATGTTAGAATCTGCGGTCAGTGGGTTTCTTGTTAAATGTGATTTCGCAAGCACTCATTGGGTCCTTTGCGGTGTGTGGTGTAGCCTATGCAGAGACTGGTATCCAGCATTGACTCTATTAGGTATGACGTCCGTGCCTGAAATCTTATTACATTGTTGGATGCTTAGGAGGAGGACAAGAAGAAACTCGAGAATGAGCTACAGTCGACAAAAGACCAACTCGAATACTCGCAACGTCAGTACGATGAAGTCAGTGTGAATCTCACCGACGCTTACGACCGCCTTGACAATGTGGTTGCCAATAAGACGCTCTGGGAGCAGAAGGAGATCGACGATTTGCGTGCTAGAGGGGAGAAAAAAATAAGGTGCGAATGCAAGATACCATTCACGCGCGTGGACCAATTTCATGCGGCTAAACTGGCTTGCTTCCATGGTCTATACGTAGAATATTGCTCGAAGCGCGACTGAGTTTGTATGTGATTGTATGATAGTCTGCTCATTTCCAGATTTGATGATGATGCTCATGGGCGATGGACACATTGCACACACACACACACACACACACACACACACACACACACACACACACACACACACACGAC